TGGCCCCATGACATAAGGTAAGTGCTTTCCTACTTCTCTCACAGGTGCTATAACTGGGGAACCACTTCCTAGCTACATCATAGGTTAAGGCCATGCCCATCTCCCTGGCTCAGAGCAGACAAACTATTTAGCATGACGATAAAGTCAGCCAGCTGTTATCAATGTGCAAAGTAATAAAGTCTATCCTCTCCTTCTCCCTCCCCGAAGCCAGGTTAATGGGGACTTCCTTGTTTTGGGGCTTCTCAGCCCACAGCCTGTCCTGAACCTCATTCCATACCTGTTAACACACCCTCCCTCCAAAAATTACTGTCTCCAGGAAGGCTTCCTCTTTGCCTGGATTTAGGCTTCTTCCTCCCTATTGAGGAGACCAATTCACAGAGCTACTCAGAAGTCAACAGTAAAGTGCCTTAACAAAATGAATTAATAAACAAAAAATAAAATGCTGTGCAATTCCTCAAAGCTCTCCCAGGAGGAGACAACACCTTTGGTTTGAGCATGGGGGTCAAGAGTGGCATTGGACAAACTCTATCCAAACAGTTGCTCCGCTACTTTTCCCACATCTTCTAAATGTGGGTACAAAGATATATCTGCTATCACTGAAAAAATTTTATGAGTTTATTTGAACCAAACTTACATAAGAATTTTTAACTGTTTATTTCAGCCAAATTGATGACAAATGCCAAGAAGCAAAATCTAGATTGAGAAAATGCTTCAGAAAATGCCAGTTTTGCACATTATTTTATACATTACAGTCAAAGGAGGAGGTATAAGAGGTTACATAAAATCCACTAGTGATGGATTAGGGAGGTGGAAGAAAGCAAAGTGGAGAAATTGCTGTGACTGGATAAAAAGGATAAGGAATAGACAATATTTTTACAGAGGTAGGTATACATAGTTAACAGTTAACAATTAACATAACAGTAACAATAAGAGGCTCTGTGGTCTCCCCGCTGTGGTGGGAGATTGTGCCCTGAGGGGTCTGAAAAAGGAAATTACCCTGACAGTCCAAAGGTGTGTTATACATGCAAAAAGATAATAGATGGGCTCAGTTAAGGTAAAGATTGACCTTTGCCAGGGAAGATACCTGCATAGAATATGACTACTCACCATGACTTGCTTTTTTAAAAATTTATTTTTTAAGTTTAAAATAAATTGTTGTTCAAGCATAGTCGTCTCTATTTTTCCCCCATTACTCCCCCTCACCCCAGCCATCCCCACTTCCCACCCTCCATCGTACCCTCCTTTGGATTTGTTCACATGTCCTTTATAGATGTTCCTGAAAAACCTTCCCCCTTTTTCCCCAATTATCTCTTCCCACCTCCTCTCTGATTACTGTAACTTTGTTCTTAATTTCAATGTCTCTGGTTATATTTTACTTGCTTGTTTTGTTGATTAGGTTCCACTTATAGGTGAAATCATATGGTGTCTTTCACCGCCTGGCTTATTTCACTCACCATAATGCTTTCCAGTTCCATCCATGCTATTGCAAAGGGTAGTAGCTCCTTCTTTCTTTCTGCTGCATAGAATTCCATTGTGTAAATGTACCATAGTTTTTGGATCCATTCATTTACTGATGGGCACTTAGGTTGCTTCCAGCACTTGGCTATTGTAAATTGTGCTGCTATGAACATTGTGGTGCATAGGTTCTTTTGCATTGGTGTTTCATGGTTCTTAGGATATAATCCCAGCAGTGGAATTGCTGGGACAAAAGGCAGTTCCATTTTTAGTTTTCTGAGGAAATTCCACAGCAGCTGCACCAGTCTGCATTCCCACCAACAGTGTACTAGGTTTCCTTTTCTCCACATCCTCTCCAACACTTACTGTTTGTTGCTTTGTTTGTGATGGTCATTCTGACTGGTGTGCAGTGTTATCTTATTGTGGTTTTAATTTGCATCTCTCTGATGGCTAGTGAGCATCGTTTCTTATGTCCCTGGGCCCTCTGTATGTTCTCCTTGGAGAAGTGTCTGTTCAAGTCCTTTGCCAATTTTTTAATTGGGTTGTTTGTCTTCTTGTAGTGGAGTTCACCAGGACTCACTTTTAGTTAGGAAGTTTTAATTTTAGACCATCCTATGTGGTTACTTTAGGTTTCTGAATTTGTAAGACCCACTATGCACAACTCCACTGAGCTTGTCGGATTTAGAATGTGACCCTTTTTTTCAAAATTATATTTATTGATTTTAGAGTGAGAGGAAAGAAGAGAGAAAAAGAAACATCAATTTGTTTTTCCACTTATTTATGCATTCATTGGTTAATTTTTATATGTGCTCTCACCAGGGATGCAATCTGCAACCTTAGCATTTCAGAACAACACTTAACCAACTGAGCTACCCGAAAGGCAGGGTGAGGATGAAATCATGAACCTGCTTAAAGCCTCCTTGCATGTGGCACTCAGTAATGTAAGCATTTCTACCATCAGTCCCAAAGTTGGGTGTCAGGAGGATAATGGGTGTAAGTCAGCTCTGCAAGGACTAGCACAACTCATGGTGATTGCACAGCCAAATCTCCACTCCTCTGTCAAACTGAGGAAATGTTTCTTACCAATGAGTTTGGGTTCTTCTGAATCACAGACATAGTTCTGGCAGGGCTTAACTCAAACTCATTAGTTTAACCTGTGAGGCCCTGTTTCAAGTTCATTGTATTTTCTTCACCATAAATTCAACTGCTGTCAGAGAACCAAGGATGAGTGTGTGCTAGAATTACCTTGATTTACTTCTAGATAAATGTACAAATCATGAATGTTAGCCATGATTTCCTTTTTTCTATTTTCCTATTTAATAGGGACATACAATGGAACCTGGGTTCTCAAACTTTCAGAATTTGCTCCGCAAGGCTGTTCAAGAAGCAATTTGTTCAAAAACTGAATCATTCGAGTGATTGATTATACAGGTATCAGCATGAAAGGGTTGTTGGGTTGAGCATCAAAGTTTTCTTTGACAACCAAGACATTGTCTTCCATGAACAGCTTGGTGGAGAACTGAATTATTCAAGATGGGAGATGTTTGCCAACCAACATTTGACTGTATTTCCTTTTGGGAATGACTCACATTGAAGGCTGAATTTTCCCTTTGAGCATGACAACTTTTGTTTTTAGCCACTTTAAAAGGGAAGTATTCTAAAAAAAAGGGGGGGAAGTATTCTGAAAAGGCACTGCCTACTGCTTCTCTGATTATGAATTTAATTTGCCTTGGAGACTTATGATTATTATGAATATAATTTCATGCCATCATGGGATATACTGAATGTTCAGATCATCTGCCTGCTCTCTCTGATCCCCAGTGGCACTGACTTCAGTCTCTGTCAGGATGTTTCAGTTAAGACAGAAAAGTCAAAGTAGGAATTGGAGTTCAGGGGTAGGGTGGGCCTGGTGCAGCTTGGCCAGGCTTCTATGCATTTCCCCAGGCTCCATGTCTTCTGAACTGCTCTGTCCCCAGGAAGGCCCTGCCCTGTAATGACTAAAAGGCTACTGTAGCCCATCTCTACATCCAGTTTTATCTGGTGGGTGCATGGGCAATAGTTCCTTTCCCAGCTGTGTCTTTGTGTCTCCTTCCTAGAAGTCCTGGTAACATCGAGTGGCCAGGCATGAACTTGTTACTTGTCCCATGATGCTGGGAATAATCATCACAAACCCCTTAGCAGGCAGTGTGGCCCCCTGAAAAAATAGAGGACAGGATGGTCCCCAAAATAAATCAGGGCTTTACCAGAGAGGGGCAATAAGGACAACTTAATCTGTTATAAATCTATCTATAAGCTTGCTGTGATGTCCCACCTGGGATGGTGTGGATACAGACTGTTCTCTAAAAAAGCAGTCCTGCCATGACTTCCCACAGCACCCAGAGGTACACAAGTATATCTTTCCCAGTGAGTAGGCATTCTGTGCATTCATACTACCTCAGGTGGGCACCTGGGAATCCCCTCAGTCCCCCTGTCCCTATCCCTAGAAAGAGCCATTCCCAGCTCCTGCTTTGGAGGCAGCAGTAGGTTCAGGCTTTGTGGGAGCTGAATCAGCCTTTCACCTCTCACCTCTCACCTCTCATGGCACCAGTTCAACGTGTCCTTTGTTTCTCTGTCTAATAAAGGACATGGAAAATTGTTGGAGCCCAAGAGGCCTGTGAGGGGTCGAGGATAGGGTCTAGCACTGCGGGTGTGGTGACTGGGCTTGGTTTCCGGCCTCGGGGCTATCTTGGGTTGTAACAGTTCTCTGACCCCTTGAGAAACTAGCCGCTTCTCCCATCAACTCATATCTTTGGCCTGTGCATCATGTACCAAGAAAGTATGTTAGCTTGGGAACGTCCAGACTCTAAGGGAAGAGATAAACTTTGTAGGTCAAGGAAGTGAGCTACGTGCCAGAAGGCTTCTCCTTTGTTCTCCTTTGTATCCAAGATTGTATATAAGCCAGAAGACTGCGCAATAAACTTGCCTTATGCCAGCAGAGCATTTGGTCCTCTCCTTTATTTCAGTCCCTCGCTCAGCCTCATGACCACCCTTGCCGCAGCGGGCTGCAGCAGAAAATCTCATCCACCCACATCTAGAATAAGAACAACCTGGGTAATGGGATGTCTTACACACAAGCCTGTGCTTCTCCTATATGTGGTCTGTGGTGTTGATTTAGCTACCTAAAGATATTTTTGTGTCCTCATTCTCACCTACATTCTAGATAAGAATGATGACTGAAGTGTTCTTGCCCACATGTCAATCTGGTAGTTATTGACTACGTGCAGCTACTGAATATTTGAACTGTGGCTACTGCCATGAAGGAATTAAATATCCTATTCTGTTCTGTTTGTTATGTTGTATTCTATTTTATTCTCATCTATTGTCTTTATTTATATTTAAATAGCCACATGTGACTAGTGCTTATTGGACAGCACAATAATCAGACAATGGATTTTTTCAAGTGGTCTCTTTTGAGTGAATAGGTCCCTTCCAGTTTTGTTCTTAGGATTATATTCAGCAACAAAGTATTGTATTATTTGATCAAAAACATCACCACTAACAAAGGATAATGAGCAAAATAAAGCTTTATTTGAACTGCCCTACAGATCATTCTGAGACCCTGGTCACTGTCCAAGTTTACATGTAAGTCATTTTATAAATAACACCATAACTACAGCCTGCCAAGTCTACCACAAATGTGATAGGCACTGGTGCATGGTTCTCTGTGGCTAACACTGCAACAACAGACCATCACCCAGTATATGTGTGTGCTATAGTCTATGGCCATCCTGTTGGGTGTCACAGGGGTAATCGCCTAATCACCCGATGCAGCTACAGTGCAGCTACAGTCCACAGTAAGTGTTCTATACCCCACAAACCCCTTGAATACCTACACAGGTGCAAGGCACCATAGACTGTGAGATAAAGATAAGAATAACCTTTCTCTGTCCTCAAAAATCTAACTCAGCAGGCTACCTTCCCCTACATCCCACACTATCAACCCTGGCATGCTTGGATAATAAACACTTTGTGACTTGATGATTTACATCATCTTGCTAACCTTCAGAGGACTTAAGGCACATTGAAAGAAAGAAACTTCGTTCAGAGCTCCAGCTCTCATCACTGAACCTATATGGTTCTTATGCTCCAAGCATAGAATGAAGAACAGACAGTTTGCAAGGACCTGGTTATAGCCAGATTAGTGCTGTAAGTTACCTTAGTTTTCACTGGCTCCCTGAACTTCCCCACAAGAGGCATCCAAAGTAGAGAAGGAGAAATCTTTCCAGATCACAGCTTGGAGAAACAGAACATATGACTGGAGTAGCATTAGAATTTAAGGGTGAGAAATTTCATGTTATCAATTTACCAGTTGAGTTTTATTGTACACAAACTAAAAGAAGTAGAAATATACACCAAGAAAAGATGTTGTGGGCCTGAGTGTTCTCAAGATAGCAGTGTTTAAATTGAGGTACCAACACTTCCAATTCAGATTTCCAAGTATGCCAAAAAATAATTAAAAGTGCACCCTCCAATCCTCTCCATGTTTCTCCACAAAGGCAGAAAAGAATGTTTTCATAACTTTAAATGTTACAAAGAGCATGTACAAGCAAATCCACACATTCCACACATGGACTTGCATGTTATTCTTCAAAAATACAAAAGTATAAAAATAAAATCTCTGCCTTTTGTATCTAGAAACATCTGGAAAAAACATGACTCCTTCTAGTTCTCAGTCATCTGAGTAGACACACTCTGCCAGATGTTTCACCTTCCTGTGATGTCTGGAGAGGACACAGAAACAGATGATAGGGACTCTTCACCCCAGGAAACCAAATTCAAGACAAGTACAACAAACACCAACAACATATGACAGTATCCCTGCATGGGTTCTCCAACAGAAAGAAGGAAGAAGGTTCAGCACGATCTTTACATTTGAGATAGTGTGGATTATGTGCTAGGAGAAGAATGGTCTTGGATGTCTGAAAAGAAACCAAGTGAGAGCTATGTTATAAAAGGACAAGTTAAGAGCCTGGGTATAGGGTCTTGGCCACAGCCCATTACTGACCAGCAGCCCTCTTGTCTATGTGTTTCTGGTAGGCACTCAGTATTTCTGCAATTATGCTGGGGTCCTCCAGAGTGGTGGTGTCCCCCAGATCATGAGCTCTGCCTGTGATTATCTTCCTCAGGAGCCTCCGCATGACTTTTCCAGACCGAGTTTTTGGAAGACGTTTCACTACCTGGCAAAGAAGAGGTGCAACATTAAAATCTGGAAAGGTGCCTAGATTCCCAGCCGGCATCTGACTGCATTGAAATAAGGACTCTTTCCCAGGGGACTGTGGGGCCTATATGACTCTGGTTTCATCCTCCTACAATCTGGACCTAAAGCTGTAATCAACCAAAAGGGCAGAATCAACTATGAATCATGCTGAAGCCTCCACCAGGTCAGGGTTCACCACACTGTCAACACCTGTTTCTCCCATCAGCTACATTACTGAGGGCCTTCAGGTGGCAACAGAACCAAGCATGTGCCACAGCACCTTGTTTCCACCCCTGGGCCTGGGTCTGAGTTGATTTTGTCTTACATATGAGATGAGAGTTACTTAAGAGAGAAAACAGTCTTGCTTAGTGTTTGAAAATTTAGCATTTTACATTTTCAAAAAGCCACAGCCCACTCAAAGTCAGTAGTAATACATTAGGAGCTGTCTTTGGGCACTTTAATAGTGATCTGTCTTTCAAAAGCGTACAGTTCACCTAAGGAGAGTTCAGGTCTCTCTCAGAAACTCTGGTTCCAAGGCCAACAGTTTGAGCTTGTGTCACACTAGTGAGGCTTCAGAGGACCACTTCCAGTCAAAAGAACACCATAGGGGAAATGTTAATAAATGAATGAAAAGCTAACGCAGCTGAGAGGCTAGCTCAATTCTTCCACAAAACTACTTCAACACAGGCTCCCTCAGACAGGATCTGCTGGCATCTCCTTTATTGGCACAGAAAAAGGTGTCAGAAACCACACAGGGGCTGAAGAACTCTGATACTTTTCACATGTTTCTCTATCTAAAAACTCCTATGTTGGCCTCCATGTGCCAAAATAAGGGTATCTAATCTGGACTAGCACTACCCCCTGAAGAGGTGAGTTGTGAAACTTCTCTTGCTATGTCTCCCTGCCCCTCTCCCTTTTTATGACAATACTGCCATCTGCCACTCTCATCTACCACCCAGGAAACCAAACAGCTGATGCTAGTTTTGCTGTGATGTTAATTATGGGAAATGGGGAAGAAGGTATAAGATGAGCAGTGCAGTTGAACCAGAGGCAGAAGTGCACTCACCAGGATCTGATCAGGCACGGCATACTTGGCAATCTTGGTGGCCACCGTGGACCTGAGCTCACTCATTACTATCTCTGAGTCACCTGCATCTTCTTTCAACACGATGAAGGCAAATGCGGCTGAAAGGAAAACAAGATTTTGAGATGTTAGCCAGAGTATTGTACACAAATTGCCATAAATTCAAAGGATTTCAAATCATATATTGTTGGCTTTGTAGCAGCTGATTCCTTTAGTTGCATCCCTAAAGATGCATTATCATTTTCAAAGTGGAAGCCATTCTGTCAGCTCCACTGAACATCCCAGTGGGTTGGCATGTGTGGGTGAGAGCTTAGCACTATGGCTCTGGTGATGACTGGCTATGTGTGTGATCTTGGACACAGGACTAATCCTCTCTAACTATACCAGCATCTGTGAAATAACCTGTAACATGGACTAATTGGAGATTTACTATCAGCTCCTGTGAGATGGTATAAGGGAACATGGCACATGGCACTAACTTCAGGCATATGTGTCCAGCATTTTAAGCACTAGCCACAGTGGCTATCTGTATTTAAATTAAGTTAAAAATGCTGCTTACACGAGCCACTTGTTACATGAACAGCTCCATCATGGCAGAAAGTCTATTGGGCAGCAATGGCCAACCCATATCTTAGCACAGATACTTTGTCAATATCCTACCATGTTCCAGAAAAAAGTTACAGTGTCTCTAAATGCATTTCCTTTTTAATCTATCTGGGACTATCTTGTATATGGTATGAAATCAGGTTCTAATTGAACTTACTGTTCATATGAGCAGTCACTTGTCCCAGTACCATCTTGGAGAATCTGTCCTTTCCCCCACTGACTCTCCTTATTGTTCATTTGTCTGTTTCTTCCTGTACCACTTCCACTCCATCTTAATGAACTCTCCCTCTGGCATGTATCACCTAATATATTACATAGTTTCCTCATTGATCATGCTTATTGTTTATGTCTGTCTCTCTACTCTAATCCCAAACCACTACAGCATGTCAGCTCTAGGGAACAGGGACTTCTGTCTCTTTCATTTTCTGCTGTGTCTCAGTATCTACGACTGTGCCTGGAACATAGGAGGTGACCAACAAATTTTATTAAATGAATCAGTGAATGACTTTCCTGAATAAACTGCAGTCTGTAGAGAGCTACAGCCTTTGCCTGAAAGACGCCCCCTCCCATTTCTACCTGGCAAAATTCTATTCATCCCTCAAGACCCAGTTTAGCTACCTTGTACTCTGTGAAGCCTTTCCTGACTCTGTCCCTAAATGCAGCTGTGGCACTTTCTATATATGAACAGCTATGGGTCTCCCATGCCTAACTCACAAGATTGTGAGATCTTTCAGGGAAAGAACTGCATTTTACTTTTCTCTTGGTATTTGAGATTCTAGGCAGTCTAGGCCCACACTACAGGGGCTCAGAGGAAAGGGACAAAGCTAACACCTGAGCCAGCTGGGAACATCCACTGAGAGATGTCTATTGTGGGTTTAATTAAAAATTTAAAACCACCAAAGCAACATATACTGATTATCATACATTAAAACACTGTAGAATATATAAAATAAAACTGCACCTCCTCTCCCTTCATCCCCCCCCACCCCCATTAAAGGCATTGCAGAATGATGGTTGGGAGAGACTGCTGTAGCTCCATGTCCTGGCTCTGCCACTTGCTAGCTGTGTGGAAGCCACTTAACCATTCTGTGCCAGTTTTTTATTTGTAAAATGGGGAGCTAACAGTACCTCCCTCACAGATACATGTCAGGATTAAATGGTGACAACCCCTGCATAAAACCTACAATAAGTAGGTTCTCAAGGGCTGCTGGCTGCTCTCTCCAGACCCAAATTTTAAAGTTAGCTTCTGGGTTTATAGGGTTTATGTTGCCATCCTTTAAATATTAGTAGGATCACAGTGGACATGTTGCCCTGAGTGTTTCCCCCTTGTCTCTAATTGGTACTCTTTCCTGCCAGGCACTTGTATCTCTTATGAGATGGGAGTGAACTTAGCTTGGATTGTTGAATCCTGAGCAGAAATGGATCAGGAAAGCTTCAGCATGAAAGGAGAAGCCTGGCTGAGAGCCTAGTGGAGGTAGGTACACAAGGCTGAGATGAAGGACTGGTGGGACAAGAGGATGGCAAAGGAGCAGCACATTGGTCAGATCAAGTACAGAAAGAGTAGGGACATATAAATGCACAACAGTTTTTTCAGATGGCTTTAGAGTTTATCAAGAACAGTTAATGGGTTTTCATGTATTACAAGTGTACAGATGCTCAAATTTATAAGAAATCAGGAAAATACATATCACCATACCTATGATATACAAATTATCTCTCACCAGCCTGGCAGACATTAAAAGGCTTGGCAATATTAAAGTAATTTAAGATCCAGAAAATAGTGCCGAGAGCTGCTTATGGGAGCATGAAGTGTCCAAGGCCTCTGAGAGTCACACATGAAGACCTGTTTCTCCCATTTCCATCCCTTTCTGATCCCTAACTGCTCCCCCATAAATTCCAGTCTTCTGCTAACAAAGGGGAGGCAACTTCATGGACACATCCTTCTTATGGCAACTGAACATGTTTTTTAGAGCACTGAAATAAATATTAATTTTTATAATGGGTCAATTTAGAGAAAGTGCTGAGTAAATAATGGAACAGCGGAACACAAACTTGAAAGGGAGGCAGGTGACCTTAAGGACATACTTAACACAGAATATATCCAACAGTAGGAGGGAGTGTACCCAATCTCAGACACTTGGTAGGGTAGTAGAGGTCAGTCTTTCCAGCAGTACAGCACAGAATCAGTGAGTATCCAGGTCACACCAGGCCAGACCAGGATGACCACTGTGCACCTACCATTACAACACCCAGGTGAGTCTGCCCCTTCCCAGCCCCACCTGCTTAGAAACTGGCAGACCTTGAAACAAAGTGTGTCCTCAATAAAGAAGATAGTATTGATTACTCGTTCTGCATGTGCCTCTGCATGTCGCTGTGCAGTAGGAACCACAGGTCAAATTCCTCTAAAAAGAATCCCAGAGCAGCAAAAGAGCCCACTCCAGGGCATATAGCTGTAGAGCTGGCACTGAATGTTGTGTATGAGCATGTGCAAGGAGATACTGTGAGTAAGGTAGAGCATTTCATCATATGTCCTCTGTAACAGGGCTGTCAGAGTCATCATGGACACAGCAGTGAACTTCCCAAGCTTAGCTGAAGCCAAAGAGCTCAGGACTGCAGATCTAGAGCATTTCAGAAATCTGACCTTAGTCTAACAAGCATGCTTGCTGTTCAGCCTCCTCACCCAAAATCTACACTTGAAAGACAAGAAAACCAATAGTTTCACCCACAAACACCCTGCCACCATCTTCTAGAATGTGTCCTTTTACAAAGATTGTGTGATGGGAGTGAGGTAAGAGATTACAGAAGTTCCTTCCCTACCACTTACCTTCTCCTTTAATGTTGTGGGGGTAGCCAATGACAGCAGTTTCTGGCACTGCGGGGTGGCTAGCCTGCACAGAACAATAAAAAGGCAAAATATGTGGGAGCTAGAACACCTGACTGCAAATTATAGTCTCCAATCTGAGACCAACATGGCCTGTGCTCACCATTGCATCCTCGATCTCTGCAGTCCCCAGTCTGTGGCCGCTGATGTTGATGACATCGTCCATCCTCCCTGTGATCTGGTAATAGCCTTCCTCAGTTCGGTGAGCTCCATCTCCAGTGAAGTAGTAGCCTGTACCACAGTGAAGGAATTCAGAGCCCATAACTCTGAACCAGGACCCAGAAGGGCTCTTGTCCTTCCAGAAGGACATAAGGGTACCCATATCCTACCCTTGCTCTATAGAAGAAAGCTATGAAGCCCTGAGTTCTGCTGACATTCTGCCTGCTGGTCCTCCTTGCAATCCCACATGGAAATACTCTCTAGATGTGCTATTTGGCTGTATGCTAGTGAAAAGGCAAAGGGCTCTGACAAAGCAATCAAGACTACAAATGTCATGGGAGCAAAGGACATAAAAGGAGTGCACTCAAGCTTCCCAAAAAGTGAGAGTCATTTACAGGCTTAACACTGAAGATTATGGGTTACAATATGTACATTGTATATGTAAATTTCCAACTGAATGACACAAAAGCAAACTGGAAAAAAAGTAAGTCAGAAGAAAACTTACAGCCATCATGATAGTTTTCCAAGGTGGTTCCTTCAATCTTCTTTTCTAACAGCCTAAGGAGTACTCAGGATGGGTCATATGATCAGGGTTCTGTGTGCTTTCCCACGTAACCGCATGAGGTTCCTGAGGTAAGTCTTTTTCCATTTTAGACATAAAGTCAGGGATGTAAAGGGGGCAGGAAGAGGACTCAAACGCATGCCTCCAAAGTGCCTGCACTACGCTCACAGTCACCATTATCTTAGAAATGTTTTCTGAGTATAGGGTTCCAGCAGTGTGTGGAAAGGCATGACACAACTATGTTAGCAACTTCACCTGGATAAGCCTTGAAGTAGGCATCCACAAATCTCTGATGGTCTCTGTAGATGGTCCTGGCCATGCCTGGCCATGCCTGAGAGAGGCACAGAGCCCCAGAGACACTGCCACCCTCTACAACATTCCCCTGCAGACAAGAGAGACATGTATGTGAGAATATGGACAGATTCTGGTTGAGAAGCAAAGAACTGACAATAAGCATCATCCCCCTAACTGTTTGGCTAGAGGCAAAAAAATGACAAGTGTGCTCTGAGGGAACTATACCTGAGAGGGCTTCTGAGGATAACCTGGACTCACCCCATGCGGTGATTTTCTCTACTGTGTCTTTAAGAGGAGGCTCTCCAGTGTATGCTGCATGATAACATAGGCCCTTTCCACCAACCACCAGACTCTGGACATGTGTGATGTGGGTAAGTAGGCAAAGGAGGCCAGGAGGACAAAAGAAACACTAGGGAGCTTGTTAGGGTATCCATGGAGGAGGGAGTCACCTCTGTGAGGCCCTCACACACCTTCTGATCCATGAGAACTGGGACAATGCCAAAGAAGGGCCTCATCGCCATTCCTGGGAAGATTTCTGCCCCTTCTTCTGAGGGCCGTGGTGCGATGCAGATGCCACCTGTTTCTGTGGGGTGACAGGAAAGAAACACTGATGGGCCAAGAGACTAATGACACATTTATCCAGGCCATGCTGTCAAGAATTTGGGACAGACACACTGGCTGGTGCTCTCCCAGGATGGGAGGTGGTTGGAACTGCCCATTTGGGGCAAGGAAATGGCCCCCACAGTTACAAGGACTTTGTGAGGCAAAACTAGACTTGGGTTCTGGTCTCCTCCACTGTGGAATGGGAGTAGAGTAGGTGCTGCCTCTTCTCCTTTAAGGCCTTACTTGTCTAGTCTGCTTCTGTGAGAAAAGTGGAATCCACCTACTTGCACAGGAAGATGAAGAAGAATTACTTCCAGACCACTGCCTATGTCCACACAGACCAAACAAAAAAAAAAAAATGCCCACATATTCCTTTTTCACATTATCTCTCTGGCACTTCCCTCTATCAGCCTGCATGGAAATACCTCACAAAACACAGCTGTAATCTTAGTCCTGTGCTCTCCTGAATGAATGAGAACTAAGCTATTTGGAATATCCCACTTTCTGGTTTTTGGAAAGACAAAATGTCAGCTACATCTGCAGTGGTCTCCAACCCCAAACATCCTAAGTCAGATACCCAAGAGAAGAGAGTAAAAATCTAAACAAAAAGCCACAGAAAATTCCTTTTCCCACTAAAATTTATATTTAGACTTACAGTCCCTTAAACAATGAGGCTCATTCTCACCATATGTACTTGCATTAAAAAAAGTGGCTTATGAGGAAAGTAAACATTTAGCTGTGTGCTCATTATTATATGTCAGTCCTTGGGCAACATGCATTGGTATTAATTCATTCTGTCCTTATCTAGAACTCATTTTACAAAAGAGGAAACCACGCTTCAGAGAAGTCCCAAATCTTATAGTTGCAAAGCCAGGTTCCACCTCTGAGTGTCAGACTCCAGATTTTCAACAAGCACATATGTTAAGGACTGAGGCATTAGTGGTGCTGGTATCATTCACAGAGCCTCACACCCGTCCCCACTACTTGGTGTTTAGCTATGTGTTCTCAGTGCAGTGATGTTGAGACCAGAGCTGTTGCAGAAGCAATCCCACTTGTACTTGATTCCCAAGTATGCCCTGGCCCCTTTTCCTGGGAGATGCTCTCACCTGTCTGCCACCACGTGTCCACTAGTGTACATCTGCTTTCCCCCACCACATTGTGGAGCCACTCCCAGGCTTCATGGTTGATTGGTTCTCCCACTGAAATCACATACAAAATAGAAAAAGATATTAATATACCACAATAAACCTTAAACAAAAAGGAATATACTGTTAAGGCGAAAACAGCTCTATAATTTTTCTGAAGGACATAAAAGGTGGTTTGAAAAAGCAGTGAAAGCTGTCCTGTGATGGCCATGAAAGAAATACAAAATTTCATTTTTACCATTGGAGAGACAAAATTTTTTTTAAATTGACAATACAGACTTCTGCCAAGATGAAGGCATAGGTGGAGACGCAGTGCTTTCTTACACAACCAACTTTAGAGACAACTAAATATTAGCAACAGAAAACACAACCAGAACACAGAAAATTGAACTTTTTGGAAGTCTGTTAACAACATATTCTTCAGCCTGACCAGTAAGAGGGGCGAAACCAGCAGCTGGTGGAGCCGGGTAGCACAGGAAAACTCGGTCACACTACTCAGGCACGCGGAATCCAGGCGCAGGGTTGGACCTAGTGAGAGACTCAGCGAGTGAACTCGGGGAAATGGCAAGAGAGCGGGGCTGCGGGTTGTCTGTGGTCGCGCATTCGTGCGTGGATAGACAAGTGAGGGAGTGGGTGATTGGATGGGACCCAGTGGGTCCCTGCGACGAGTGGCAGCGGAGGGTACCGCCATTTCCCCACTCTGACCCCGCCTCCACGTACAGCGTCATAACCCAAAGACTCTGAGTGGCCCTGCCCTGGTGAACCACCTAAGGCTCTGTTCCTTACCCAGCTGCCAGAAACAGCAGAGGGGGCCAACATTTCCCCACTCTGACCATGCCCCCACATACAGCGTCAAAACCCAGCAACCTGGGAGTCCAAGGCTCCACTCCTCATACTTAAAGGGCGTGTGAACAGACCAAAAATGGCTCAAGATCTCAAAGCACCAGAGCCTATAAATCTAAGCAATGAAGAAATAGCAAAACTCTCAGATGCACAGTTTAAAACACTGGTGATCAGGATCCTCACAAAACTGGTTGATTATAGCCACAAATTAGACAAACATATGAAGGCAAAACTAATTGAAATGAATGGAATTGCATAGAAAACCAATAGCGATGAAAAGGAAACTGGGAATAAAATCAATGAAGTGGACCGGAAGAAAGCAAATAATGGCCAAACAGAAAAGAGTGAAGAAGCAAAAATTCAAAAAAAATGAGGAGAGGTTTAGGAACCTCCAGGACATCTTTAAATGCTCCAACATCCAAATTATAGGGGTACGAGAAGGGGGAAAGGAACAGCCACCAGTGGAAAACTTATTTGAACAAATAATAAAGGAGAATTTCCCCAATCTGGCAAAGGACAGAGATTTCCAGGAAATCCAGGAAGCTCAGAGAGTCCCAAAGAAGTTGCACCCAAGAAGAAACACACCAAGGCACATCATAATTACATTAGCCAAGATTCAGATGAAGGAGAGAATCCTAGAAGCAGCAAGAGATAAGGGGACAGTCACCTACAAAGGAGTTCCCATCAGACTGTCAGCAGATTTCTCAAAAGAGACCTTACAGGCAAGAAGGGGCTGGAAAGAGGTATTCCAAGTCATGAAATCCAAAGACCTACAACCAAGATTACTCTATCCAGCAAAACTTTCATTTAGAATGGAAGGACAGATAAAGTGCTTCTCAGATAAGATCAAATTCAAGGAGTTCATCATCACCAAGCTCTTATTGTATGAAATGTTAAAGGGACTTACCTAAGAAAAAGAAGTTAAAAAAACATGAACAGTGAAAGGACATCAAACTCACAGTTATTAACAACCACACCTAAAACAAAAGCAAACAAAGAGGACAGCTAGATCAGAAGTGGAAACACAGAAATGAAGATCTCAAGGAGGGTTAGCAACAGGAGAGTGGGAGGAGGAGAAGGGGGGAAAAGGGACAGAAAATAAGTAGCATAGACAGTAGATAGAAAATAGATGGGGGGGCAAGAATATCATGAGAAATATAATCTAAAGAACTTGAGATACATGGTCATAAACTAAAGGGGGTAATGGTGGGGATGGGGGGTAGGGTGGAGGGGAATGAAGGGGGGAATAGAACAACTGTAATGGCATAATCAATAAAAAAAAATTTAAAATAAATAAATAAAATTGACAATACAGGGGAAAGAATATCATATGCACTTTAGAAGTGTAATTTGAGGGGAATGCTGGGAAGATGGCGACAGAGTAAGATGGAGCTGATACTAGCTCCTGTACTCATGGGTGAAAATCCTGGCAGATCTATAGAGAAACAGCACAATAAACCATCGGTTACCCAGCATTTATGAAATTAAAAGACCAGAGATTGTGACCGACGCTGAAACACCAGACGGAGGCAGAGTCAGCTACTGGAGCTGGGTCTCACGCGGCCCCTGTGCTGCTGCCAGAGCAACAGGCCTGGGAGCCGGGGAGTCAGGTATAGAAGCCGGACACGCCAAGCCCCTGTGACGGTCCTGGGAGACAGAGGAGTCAGGAACCGGAGCACGGACATTCTCGGCCCCTGTGCCGATGCCATAGCTACTGGCCTGGGCAACTGAAGGGTCAGTTGCAGGAGCTGGGACACCAAAGGCCCCTGTGACGCCACCATACAGACAGGCCTGGTCCCTGAGGAGCCAGCTATGGGAGCCGGGAAGTTCTCAGCTCTTGTGCCGCTGCCATAGTGACGGGACTGGACGCCGGAGAGTCAGGTATGGAAGCCGGGACACTCCAAACCCCTGTGCTGCTGCCATAGCGACAGGACTGGACACTGGGGAATCAGGTATGGGAGTTGGGACATTCTAAGCCTCTGTGCCACTGCCACAGAGACAGGATTAGATGCCAGGAAGTCAGGTACGGAAACCAGGACACTCCAAGCCCCTGTGACGGCCCTGGGCAGCAGAGAGAGCCAGATACGGGAGCCGGGACATTCCCAGCCTCTGTGCCACTGCCATAGTAACGGGCCTGGGTGCTTGAGAACGCGGCTACTAGAGCTGGGACATTCAGCAGTGGTAGGGGACCAATGCAGGGACCAGCGCGAGGACCAGCGTGAGTGTAGGTGGAGACTAAGAACATCAAGAAACTTCAAGGAGTCTGCACCACTGAACTTCAAAGGATCATACCATAGAAGTTTACACCATAAAACCAGGGTTTGAGAACAGATCAATTTTGGAAGCAGAGACTAACAAGAAGAGTCTCAAACAATGGGAAGACAAAGAAACAATCCCCAAATGAAAGAAAAAGCAGAAACTTCAGAAAGAATGTTAGATGAAATAGACGCTGATCAACTATCAGACAGTGAATGCAAAGCACTGGTTATTACGAAGTTCAAAGAGCTCACAGTGAACTACCAGAAACTACAGGGGAACTATAATGATCGCTCTGCAAACTACAGCAACATCAAAAAGGAAATGGAAACTATCAGCAAGAGACAAGAGGAAATGAAGAACACAATTTCCGAATTGAAGTACACAGTAGAAAGTTTCAAAAGTAGGATAGATGAAGCGGAGCATAGGATTAGTGAGTTGGAGGACAAGGTAGAAAGCATCTCACAGAAAGAGCAAGAAAATGAAAAGAGGCTCAGAAAGAATGAAGAGGGATTAAGAGAAATGCAAGACAATATGAAACGTAATAATATCCGAATAATAGGAATACGAGAAGGAGAAGAAGAAGAACAAGGGATAGAAAATGTATTTGAACGAGTAATGAGAGAAAATTTTCCTAATTTGATAAGAGAAAAAGTCTCACAAATCCAGGAAACACAGAGAGTCCTAACCAAGAGGAACCCAAGGAGGCCCACTTCAAGACACATCATCATCAAAATGGCAAAATTCCAAGACAAAGAGAGAATCTTAAAGGCAGCAGGGAGAAAAAAGAAGTAACATACAAGGGAGCCCCAATAAGGCTAGCTACTGACTTCTCAATGGAAACACTTCAAGCAAGAAGACAATGGCAAGAAATATTGCAAGTAATGAGAACCAGAGGCCTACAACCAAGGCTACTTTACCCAGCAAGGCTCTCAATCAAGATAGATGGCCAAATAGAGAGCTTCCAAGACAAAAGAAGTCTAATAGAATATGCCTCCACCTAACCAGCTTTACAAGAAATACTAAGAGGACTGCTCTAAGGGAAGGAAGGATAAGAGGGAGACAGAGAGGAACACAGGTACAAAAATGGCAATGAATAAGTACCTATCAATAATAACCTTAAACGTAAATGGATTAAATGTTCCAATCAAGACACAGAATAGCTCAATGGATAAGAAAGCATGACCCACACATATGCTGCCTACAAGAGACCCACCTCAGGACAAAACACCATCACAGACTAAAAGTGAAAGGCTGGAAACAAGTTTTCCAAGCAAACGCACAAGAAAAAAAAGCTGGGGTAGCAATTCTCATATCAGACAAAATAGACTTCAAAAAAAAGGTTATAAAGAGAGACCCAGAAGGTCATTTCATTATATTCAAGGGAAGAATCCACCAAGAAGACATTAACATTGTAAACATATATGCACCAAACATAGGGGCACCCAAATATATCAAGAAAATCTTAGAGGACTTCAAGAAAGATATTGACAGCAACACAATTATAGTAGGGGATTTTAACACCCCACTATCAAAAATGGACAAATCTTCCAAACAAATTATCAACAAAGATAATGTGGCATTAAACAACACCCTAGATGAAATGGACTTAACTGATATATATAGAGCCCTACATCCCAAAGAAGCTAAATACACATTCTTTTCAAATGCACATGGAACATTTTCAAAGATAGACCACATGACAGGACACAAAACGAGCCTCAAAAAATTCAAGAAAATTGAAATCATACCAAGCATCTTCTCTGACCACAAGGGACTGAAACTAGAAACCAACCCCAAAGAAAAAAACCCAAAGCACCCAAAAACATGGAGACTGAATGGTATGCTATTAAACAACAAATGGGTCAAGAATGAAATTAGGGAAGAAACCAAACATTTCTGAAAACAAATGAATATGATCTCACAACAACCCAAAACTTATGGGACACAGTGAA